TGCCTATTATATGTCAGACATCGTCAGCTGGATTTCGTTTTTATCAAAACTTCGAACTTAGACTCAGTTACTATGAAAGAGGATGTCTCGCGACATTATGTACTTGTACATATGAATGCATTTAATGAACAAACACTAGCAGATCATAAACAAGAAAGCGTTACCAATCAAAATTGTACAGTCTTTTACCCATGAATTTTGCGAGGGATAAACTCCACTGAGCCCTTTTTGGGAAGAGCTCTGAATTTTTTTCTTAAGTAGGACGCAATTTAGTTTCAGAATTAATTTGTGCGAAAGATAGTAAGTACTATATATGGAGATAGAAATGTGACAAACTTTGAGATGGCTAGTTCTTTAATAGTCATGTAATTGCACCCAAAAGTCGCATAAGGTGACGTGGTCTCCAAAATTCTGCAATTCAATAAGCGAATTAGTACATAGCTAGGATAAAAGCATTCAGGGACGTTTTTGGTTGTGTGGAGAAGTTAAGTGAAATCTGCTTCTGATAGTACATTTTTAAGATGCGATTATCAGACGTATTAATGAATTCCAGTGGAGACTTACAACTTTATCATTTTTCATTTGTGGTATTCCATTAATTATAAATAAAAAGGTAGTAGCCATATTCTTAAAAATCGAGTGTTTAGTTTTGTGACAAATTTGCCTTGTTGATTTGTCGAATCCTTGTTACGTTCTGTTCTCGCCCTTTCCCTATTTCATCTTTCTACATTCGATCTTACTGAGCATTAGCGTAAAAGCTCAAATTTTACGAGTGCCAGAGCGTTAATCTAGGACTTGAGCTACATCTCGACATTAAACCTCTCCAGACTATTCGCATAAAAGGGAACATTTCTCACTGGCATCAAAATCGATTTTTAGACAGTTCTATCATATACTGAGTAAGTAGGTTTGATTGATTACCATTGGACGTGCATCATGTCGATTTGACAAAATTATCTATGGCAAGATTGAAATATTGGTACTACTTAATCGAAAATGTGAAGGCCAATATAGTGAAGCCTTTAGCATATTCGCGGAAGTGACTTCACCTCTCTTTTGCAACTTAGTCGTATTATCAAAGATACTTATATGAACTCACCTTGTCCAGAGTTATCTGTCGTAGTATCCATGATAATTTCCCGCGTCAGACCATGGACTTCGTTCATTTCCAGAAGTTTCGCCGGCATTTTCGATCAACCTTGCCATTCTTAGCATCACATTATGATTTATCTCTACCGTATCGTAGTGTGACACGGCTTAGTGACAATGTCGGCGAAACATCTTGCAATGTACCAAGTCCACGCTCCGACGCTGGAAATCAACATGGATACTATTGCAGAGGACTTATATATATATATATATATAGCTTGAGAGTTAAAACATTACCTCGACGGTATAGCTAGTCATTTTATCTCATTATTTATTCATACTTTAATTTGGCGCGCATAACCACAGACGGAACCAAGGTTTTTTTAGGGTTTACAACAGTCCTTATTTTATAGAGTTTGTTTGACCTCGTCTTCACAAGTTGGTCAAAGCATCATATAGACCTTGTGGAATGTACCTAGTCATGCGTTCTCTGCCATAATATTCGTGATTTCCAGTATCTGGTTATTGACTGTACAATCCCAAATGTTTTATCGGCATCATCAATGAGAGACGCTATCGTTAACTTAGAATAATAACTTATCAGTGACTAACAAAGGCTTGTGATAGATTTTCTGCTCAACCGTTGTGATATGACTCATCGCCCCTAATTTTGTCCTACCTTCTAGTGATGCATCTATTTCACTCATACTTCATATGGCCCATTTACTTATTCACACAATATTCTGTCCTCGTCGCCTAAGTGTCGCTACAAGTGTATATATATAATTTTTTGTTTACAGTCTTTGCAATTTATGCTGTAAACTCTGGAGTACTCCATTAAGTTGACTTCTTCATGTTATGTGGGCAAGCCGGTGAACAGTGCTATCCTTTTCTTCAGGATTGTACGAATATTCTAT